GGAGGTATGTTTCTTCCATTCCCAGCAAATTAAAAGGACTCCATAACTACCACGAGCTAAGCGACTTTTCCACCATGCCCAACTCATGTGAAGTATCTTCCTAACAGCATGCAACACTTACTAATACTTTATGTGCACAGTAAGCCCCACAGATACATTGCTACCCTTGCCAAACAGATTGTCAGCTACTGGACCTGAAAACACAGCATCTTACCAGGCCCACAATGATGCTATGCTTATACAGAAGCACCTTCCCATAGTTGTACTGAATGAGGTTCCACAAATTCACCCAAAAGTGGGTGAACTTCAGCATCAAGTGCTAAATCATGAACTTAATGAAAAAACCCAGGCAGGTTTGAGTCTGAACCACAGCGCAAGGGTCAGAATTCAGCTCTGCATCCTGGCTGGCAACAAACTGCATTTCATCCACTGCATTTGAGCTCTTGGCCACGTCTGACCCCGGGGCTGTGAGACTCTGGGAATACTTGAAATACTCAGTGATGCTGCTTTGAATCGAACTGACCCCGGTGAGTTGCTCTGAAAAAGCCTTCCCAACTCATCCATGTCGGAAAACGACGGCTCTGAAGGATCTCGGTGGTAGCGTAAATCACTCAAATGCAATCAAATTTAATGGGATATTTGTTGCGAGAGCCAAGAGAAGGATGCCAAGAAATGCAGAGGTTGCTTGCTGCGTTTCAAGAGTTCTCCAAAGCTTCATCCATTTCAGGAGAGCCCTGCCAGTGTCAGAGGCTATTTTCATTAACGCTACTCTCTCTAATTAAACACAGATTTCACACAGCAACCTCAGCCATACAGCAGGGATCCTACAAAGCCCCCTTCCTTCCACTCTGATCAAACAAATGCATATTTACTGATACAGCTTAGCCATGTAATCCACCTTTCTGGAGGAGGAAAATGAAGTCTTCAAAGCCTCACACCCTGCCTGTCCTGGCAGATTAACTCCAAGTAGCAACGCTGCAGAATAAACCCATCTTACACAGACAAGCATAAGATGTATTTTGTGCTTCCTAATACCTGAGGAGTTCAAAATCTGCCCACAGCTCCACTTTAAATCTGACAGTTTGGCTCTATAAAGTAAAACCTTAATACTAAATAAAGATGTTTCTGCTTTGCAATTTCTAGTTGAAACGTTGACACTAAATACTCACTTACGGGCTATGGCTATAATTTGGCAAGCGTTTAAGGCCTATTCTTTACTTATTTCTGCCAAACGCTGGATTTGATACCATTCTCCAACTCACAATGTACTCAGGGGGGTGTCAGGCACTTTCGCTTCCACCCGAAATGTGCCGTTAGCCATGACTCAACCCTGCACTGGCTGCTACCACTTCTTCCACTGTTCAGCTGTTCCTCACTAAAAAAAAAGAGAGGAAGGAGAAATCTGTGAGCATTTTACTGGAATTCCACGCTTGCAGGAGGAGTGCCCAAAAAAGTATTGCAGAAGCAGCAAAGGGAGCCTAAAGGAAAATTAAAGGAGATTAAAACACGGTAGCAGACACTGCTGCAGCAATACTGGGGTTATTAGTGCCAGGTTTACATACATCATTAACAAGGGATAAAAGGCTTCAATCAAATCACTGATTTGGCATTGAAGATCAAGAGTAAAATTGCACGCAAAAGTTTCTCAAGCTTCTGTGGAGCAGATGATGTTGTCAAGCAATAAATGAATTATAGAATAACCTGCTATGTCGCACACAGGGGTGTTTATAAATGTGTTTGGGAAGAACAGTTCATTTGTGAAATATCAAAGACTATCCCTTATATCCCTCATCTACAGGGAATTCACTGTACCACAATTCAAAGACCTCTCACATGGAGGAAATCTGCAAATTAACAGGCGGAGCTAAGGAATATGCCTGTTAACTTTACCTGGATAACTTAAACTTTCCATCCTGGAGCCATCTCTACAACATACGCTGGGTATTAGGTTGTGCTCTGTGATTTCTGTAATGTTTTTTTTTGTGTTAAGATTTATCAGTTCCAATTGAAGAAATGTGTCTAGGTGTCATTAAATACAAAAAATCAAGACCTAAAACCCATCCCTCCATCCTCTGCAGAAGGGGTAAAATAGGTTTACATGAGATCGCATTTGGGGAAATTCAAGTAACTGTCGGGTTTTCACGCATATGCACAAATTCTCAGCTCCATCAACCTCTCCCGTTTAAAAAATGCCTGGATACCAGGTGGACCTTATGTTTGTTACCCCTCAGCATTTGCTTTGATGATTTATGAGTCTCAAAGCGCCTGCCATGCAGTCTTACGGATAAAATAACATGCAGTTTATGAGTAACCTAAGTAACGCACAGCGTGAAAAGCATTAAGCCAAATTTCCTGCAAAGTCTTACAACGAGTGGGCATCAAATAAGCCCTGCAAATGATGAACAATTTGACCCATCTTGCTACAGGAAAACTCCCCTGTAGTGAATTCCCACACTTTTATTCGGCAACCTTAATAAGTATTCATGCTGCCTTATGGAAGAAGTCGTCTCGCATACCTACCCTCTGCAGATTGCAACCTTGATAGCAGAAAATACCTGTTTGTAGTTAAATTCTATTTACCACCCACCTTGTTTTCCTCAGCACCTTAAAGGGAACAAAAATCCCTATTGCAGCTATTTTTGCTTTCTTTCAAGACTGTGATTTATTCAGATTATCTTAATGCCTAGGAATGCAATTTCTATACTCCGTGGTGGCAAATACCCAACACCACGTTATTTATTCAACTGCTCAACACAGCGAAAACAAGTAACTTTTGTTATTTCTCCTCGTACCAGAAAACCATGCAGCCAATTGGATTTTAGGTTGAGATACAAACTTTGCAAAGAATACAGCTGGTACTGTTCTCAATGGCTGGGTTTTGGCTTCATAATCACTCAGACTATATCCCAGCCCAAATTCTCCTGTTGCTTTCAGATAACTATTGATGTACGCTCTACAAATAGGCCATTTTTCTTGGAAAAATAATCTATATCTCACTGGGTAGGGGTATATTTGGAACAACCACGTAGCAAAGCCGCTTGTTGGTCCATAGAAGTTTTGTGTGATTTGCTGTGTCCTTGGACCAGATTTACTTCATTTATTGTTCCCAGCTCAATGATGTGGTTTTGGCACCAGCCAGCAGAAAAGTTAACTCCAAAAAATCAAAGTTGCAGGGAAATAACTCGCCCAGGGCAACGCGCGATGAACCAACCTTTTGTAGCAAAGGAGACAACCCAAAGTTTAACCCAAAGCATAAACAAAACAGCAGCCAGCGGCGCCGGAATAAAGTTTAAAGGAGAAACACATGGAAATGATGCAGATTTGTAGAATTAGCAACTCCTCCCTTGGCATTTCAAGATAAAGGTTCAAGAACCAATTCTGCTTCAGGAAAAGTACTAATTGCTAGCAAAAGAAAGTTGGAGATGTTATTACTTATTGGAGAAGCGTACGTGGGAACGAGACGTGGCATCAAGAAATTCCACGCTGCAATCCACCCTGATGCTGAACAGATCTTGCCGTGGGCAAGGCTACTTCACCCCGTATTTGCTTTTGGCTCAGTGAAATGGGAACAGAGACACCTCACCCCAATTATTTTGGAAAAGACCCTGCAGATGAAAAGTTGCTCGTTATTAGAAACACATTCGCAAAGGTTTGGTCAACTGCAGCATGTTCCTGCACAGCAAAATCTTGACATAAAGCAGTAAGAACGTCCATCTCACCAACTCCCTGTTAGCTTCTCAGCAATTAACGTGACCACCACATGCATGCACGCCCCTTTTCTCTGAAAGAACAGAAACCACATTGCAGAAAAGCTCTAAACCTCGATTTTTCCCAAGGCCCCACTTGATGCAAGAAACCCATCAGCAGAACTATGTTTTACCACTCTGTAAAGCTTTCTTAGCTGGGTGACTAAATTTTTCTGATTGTATGCACCCCACTTCGTTAAAATCTGAGACGTAAAGTCCTCACACCTGCCTACTTGCCCTAAAAATTTAGCTAGGGAGTAAGTTTAAGTCTTGCCCAAAGAAAATAAGAGGCAGGGCAGCAAACTGTAGTTATTTTATTTCCTAGCCAGCCGTATCGTGTGTCTGTCGCAGACCAGGTCACTTTGGGTATGAAGACATTTACACACAATATATCTTCCCGTAATGACCGTGCGCTGCAGCTTTGGGATGCCTGCGGGGCTCAGAGTGTGAAGGAATCTAACACAAGCTCCCTCCGGGCAGTGCCAACAAGCAGACTTCTCTTCACAGCCTTAAAATGAAAATATAGAAAGATCACTCGACTGTAACTTTGCACACCAAACAAATGCTTGATAAAACCTTCACAGAAGATTATACCCTCTTCTAATACACACCTGCGCAACGGCACAAGAATGGGCCGTGGAGTGACACACAGGCTGAATAGGAAATAAGGAGAGAAAGGCAGAAAATGGTCCTGTATTTAAAGATGGGGTGACTTTGCAATCACCAGAGGAATGGAAAACGGGGTTTCACTGGCAAAACCTCACAATACCAGGAGTAGGAGAGAGATCTATGTGCCACAGCAGACATCAGTGGCCCTAAATTCATCCTAGCACGACCAAACTTCTCTACAAGGCAACACCTCATGAGATAAAAGATTAGCTAGCAAAAAAACCCCAGGTTTCGAGCGCAGTATCAGCGCGCACGCAGCCCAGAAACGCCTCATCTCAAAACTGGTGCTGAAAACAGCCAGGCGCTGCAGCACAGGCCACGTTCAGCACCAGTTGCTTGTGACAGATAATTTCCCAGCCATGTTATCCCCACCTATGTTACTCAGCACATCAACGCCCATGGCAGCATCTCAGCACTGCAGGGTCGCGAGGGGACTCTACCCTGCCCAAAGACGCTCCCAGGGGAGGGGACAAGAAATCCTATTCCAGTGCACAGGCAAAACGCACGCTGCATTGATCGCGTGCTGCTCGCTGCATTGCTGGAAATCTGAGAGACTTGCTAGCCCATAATTGACAATTTGGGATTTTATTTTTTTGGGACAGGGCCACATTTCCTACTCATGCTGTTCAAAACAACCCCAGAAACCCAGTAAGCAGCCAGCTTAGCACAGGAGAGACGCTGCATCTCCTGCAAAGTGATGGGCTCAAGGCTGCTAGCTGTTTGGGCTGACTTTTTGGGGAAGGCGATAGCGAGCGGGAAGCCACGTGTGGGGTGGCAGGACTGGATCCGCGGATACTTACGGACACAGAGACAAGCCACCAGCTTGGCAGCCTCATCGGGCACCGGGCAGGTGGGGAAGATGGGCTTGAGCAGGTAGGTGGCAAAAACCAGAGCCACGATGTACTGCGAGGAGGGCCGGATGATGAGCAGCTCTATCCAGAGCTTGAGGAAGGCGGGCAGGGAGCCGTACACCTCCAGCATGTAGGCGTAGTCTCCGCCGGACTTGGTGATGGTGGTGCCCAGCTCGGCATAGCAGAGGGCACCCACGATGGAGAAGGCCCCGCAGACGGCCCAAACCACCAGCGAAAACCCCGGCGAGCCGGCCTCTCGCAGCACGCCGGTGGG